TATATACATATATTAAAAAACTTAAAAATACATAAGAGTATCGGTAATTAGTCATTGATATTTTTCTGTAGATTTATCTGTTTTTACTTGGCCTATTCTGAGTGAGGTTTCAAACTTTATAAAAAATCATAAGAGCATATTATTGGAGTAGAATTATAGCTTAGAAGTTAGCTGCTTGCCGTCCAATCCTAGGGTAAAAGTTAAAGGTTGTCCTGTATTCATTACCGAACGTACAGTAGCGAAATGAGGTGTTAGCCCATTGTACTAAGCCTCAGCATTGTGTGGTTGGGTGTCCAGCTCCTTTTCATTCCACCTTTTTAACTTCCCCAATATATTTCAACCAGGTACCCATTTGTACTCCTGGTTGGAGAGAGAGAGACAAACACAGGTAAAGTGCTTTATCCAAGGACACAAGTGGCATACACAGCGAATGCTCAAACTCACTACCTTGAGGTTGAGAGACCAAAAGGCAACCAGGCGCCAGTCGCTCCTGGGGTACTCCCAGGGTACTGAGTTCAATTCCTGCCAAGTAAGGAGATTTGTTCTCACAACCAAAAACACACTAAGCCTATAACTTAAAAAAAATAACTTTATATAGCATTGTGTGTGTTTATCTTGGGAAAAGGACTACACCCTATTTGATAAGTTTGCCAAAAAATGAATAAAAAAGAAATAAATAAAGCAATTTGGTATTTGATTTTCTTTTGTAGGTTTATCTGTGTTTATGTGGCCTATTCTGAAACAGGTTCCAGTGGCCGTTGTGTATGGTGTTTTTATCTATCTTGGATTCTGTTCCCTAAGTTCACTGCAATTCATAAGTCGTTTAAAGATTTTATTTATGCCGAGTAAATATCACCCCGACGTTAGCTATGTCAGAATGGTAAATATCAATCATTGATTATTTTTCACATCATTGTAAAATATGATTTCAAACATACTATATTAAAAAATGGTGCATATAAAAATGTTTGAAATGATTTAGGTAAGAGTTTTAAAATGGCTAAAAAAATTCAGAGGAATAGTCTTTCCATGCATATAAGGATGACACAAAATCTTGGAATGCTGCATATAGCCTTTAGAAAATTTGCAGAAATGACATGAGCACTGTGTGTGGATACTATATTGTTATTACAGTATTGTTATTTTATTATTTTGTAAATATTCTATCAAACAATTATTATTATTGTTATAATTATTATTATTACTATTATTATTATGTTGTTATTGTTTTTGTCATTGTTAATATTACAGTATTGACTTAAATTAGGTTAAAATATGAATATATATTTATGCGTACAGGTGAAGACATGGAGAATACATTTGTTTACTATCATCCAGTTCCTTTGTTTGGTGGGATTGTGGGTAGTGAAGATGTCGAAAATTGCCATAGCGTTTCCGTTCTTTTTAATGCTGCTTGTTCCTGTCCGACATTTCCTGAAGAAGTTTGTTTACTCTGAACGAGAAATTAATGCGGTAAATATTTATTAGTGATTATTAGTAATTTATTATATCCAGTAATAAAGTAAATTGTGATAGTTCCAGTAATGAAAATTTTTCCAACATCATAGTGATGATCTTAATGATCATATGGATTGATCATGATATGTGGAAAATAACGCTGGACATCAAAATAGTAATTTTTGAACGTTGCTAATGTAGAATAGAAAGGCTGTTTTTTACCAAGCAGAAAAAGACCAATGCAAACAGCGAGACTTGGTGACAATGTCCTGAGTGTGTACAACTGCCATGCATTGCTGAAATTTTTTGCAAATAAATGTGCACATCTTCCTCAAATTTAAGAACCCTTCAATGAAAGATTACCTCTAATTAAAGACCACATTTCTAAATGAATGCCTCTTTTTAACATCTTTTTAATAATATTTTTTCTAATTAAAGACCAGAGCAGCGGTGGCGCCAGATATTTGCCGACAAGGTGTCTGACATGTCTGATGGAGGGGTCCAAACCAAGGGGCACTATGAAGCATTGGTCGACGGCTCAGAATAAAAACTTCTTTGTAGGGTTTACAAGGAGAGTTTTTATGGCTTAGTATGGCCCAAAATGTGCTTTTAGACCACAATATTAGGGATTGACAGTCAACAAATTTGGATAGGCAGATTTTTTTTTTTCTGGATCCGACGACCTAGTCATGCGTCAAACGACAAGGGGGTCCAGACCTGTCCGATGGGGAAAGATGGCCCCCCCCAATGGTGCCACCACTGGACCAGAGCTGCTAAAGGCCATGAAAACCGTGGCCCCAAAAGTGGTCTTTAATTGGAGGGTGACCTGTATTCATGATTAGACAGACCACACATGTACAAAACCCTATTTTCTGTTGCTTAGCAGCATGCTTGGTAAGCTCTAGTGTTTATAACAGCAGTGTGATTTGACCAAGGTAAAATGAATTCAATGAGAACAAGGCTTCTGGTATTTTACACTGGACTGAATAGGAAGCTACAGCTGATGATAATGACAATGATGAAGATGGCAACGATGTGATGACGATAAAATTATATCTTATGAAAATTATGATGAAGTATAATATACATAGCATAATATAATATATATATAGTAATGATATTATTTTTATTTCAGCTTGACAGTGAAGAAGAGGAGAAGGAAGATGGCAATTTTGATGAGCATTTTTGATTCACTGTCAAAAAACATTTGATACAAAAATCATATGTTAAGTTTGAAAGCATGATGATAACCATTTGTGCCTGACATTGGGAGACTATAGTCCCACAATACATTTGTACGTACATACATATGTATGCAGGGCCAGGTACAGGGTTTAAAGTTGGTGACCAAGGATAGAGTTCATGTTTTTTGACTAGATTAGTATATTACTTGTGCCAAAAACTATTGATCTTTACTGCTTAAAATCAGCTACATAACACTGTACAATACCTTACAGTCAGTGGTGACATCATCACCTTCATTTGCACTGAATTTTCCTATCCCCGATATACTGTAGTGCCGATTTTCGCGTATCATGTGCAAAAGAAGCTCAAAGCTGGGATGATTTTACTACAGTACATTGCGATGAAATATTTTTTCCCAACTGTTTTCAAGCTAAAGAAATCAAGAATTGAATTGAAAAGAAATTTTTGATTTTAAAATTGTTGAAAGGTTTATTAAATTGCGATCTCCAGTACAATCGGAAAATTTATAGTGAAGTTATGACAAGGAAAGCGTGAAAAACCTCGGTTTTTACAGTCTGTGAGTTGAGGGGATTCCATAGAGGATGCTGTAAAAGTGACGACATACATGCATCAAATTGTTTTTTGACAATCCACAGATTGCCACCGATGATCAGAAGGTGGTGATGTGTCGTTAAGTGCTCCCAGAGAGAGGAAAAGAATCTGTCATACAACAAACTATTATAATACGTAGTAGATGAATCCATCAATCATTATTATCAAATATGAAAGTAGTTTAAAAAATGCCATCGTCAATCCAAAAAAAAAAAATACTTGACTACTTACATGTGTGTCAAATCTTGATTAGGACATACTGTAAACTGAGCTAGAAACTCTGTACCTCAAAAAATATGTGGTCAGATAAATAAAAACAGATGGACCAAATTCATAACATCAAAAACTGGACACGAGAAACTGAAAAAAGATGAAATTTCAATCTATTGTATGAAAACTACAAGGGGAGATGGTATAAAGTTGATGGTCTGACATCTTTCTTTGAAGGAGAGGTGCTCTTTACTTTAGTCGTTCATTTAACAACATTTAAGAGGAGTAGGGCATGAAGGGATAAAGAGTTCTTTAAATTGTGAATTAATATTTATACACCTGGATTGAGAGAAAGAAACCAAATTTAAATTAAGTGTCTCTTGCCCATAGCATCTTGCATGGCAAAGATTGTGAACCCTAACCTCAAGGTTTTTCATAGGCAGTTGGCATCATATCAAAATAGAGCATGTACCGTAATAATAATAATACCTTTAATATAAATATTTATTATTCAGAGGCAAAGGCATGATTTATTTTTATAAAGTGGTAGACATAACAAAGCGATTTGTAACTTCATGTCCACTTCATTTTATGACAATGGGGACCGAAGTGAACCACAGAATCGAGGTAATCCCCCACTCTTCTCAAAGATGCAATGGAGTAGAGATGTAGCTTGGTGGTTAAGGTGCCTGCCTTCCAATCCCAGGGTCCTGGGGTCAAATCCTGTGATGGCACAGGTTTTTTTTTTTGGTTTTTTTTTACAATACGCTGGAAAGGTCACCTTAAAAAATATGGCTTAACAAGAAGAAAATTAATTCTTTAAAGTTCATATATGTCAAATGTGTACGCTGGACCTCAATTTGAAGTCATTATACGAGAAGACTTTGTAGATACATATGGTATGTATAGTGTCTGCAGAAAGCTTGGGTTTAAAACCAAGATGGGGAAAAGTTTTTCTTCTTGCAGATCTTTCTTTTTCAATGATCTCAGATTAAAGATGGATACTATATGTATTCATCTTACTTTTTCTCTAACTTTAATTATAAAATCTACTCTGTTCGTTTATGTTTACAAAACATTTTACCTTAATGTAATATAATAAATATATATGTATATCTTTATCTTTGTATAAGTTTATTTACCTATATATTCAAGTTAAGAGAATGTTGGTTATTAAACACCAAGCAATATTATGTTCAATAATCTGCATAGAGTGATAACAAACTAATATATTACTGTTTAGTTTTATGTGAATACATCAAGAAGTGTAACAAAAGGAATGCATGCATGGGTAATTAATCTACGATAAGTACCGTATTTATTCGCATAAATGCCACATGGTGTTTATATTTGTTGAGAAAGGTTTTTGAGGGAGCGTTTATTGGAGGAGTAATTTTTTGGAGGCAGTCATTAATTTGTTTTGAGGGTGGCATTTATTTATTTATTTATTTTGGGTGTAAAATGGATACGTATATACTCAAATAAATGCCCCTAAATTTCACTGTAAGATGTGGAACTACAACATACTGTATAATTACCATCAAAGTGTCTTATTGCTGGACATAAACACTTAAGGATTCTAACCCGGTTAGAAAAATTGTAATTCTACTGGAGTAGATCATTAATAGAATGTGTTGAGAATGATGCTTCTATTACATTGTTTGGGATGGGGGGAGGGTGTTTATTCGAGAAAGAAATAAATGCCTCCAAACTTTTATTCAAGGAGGAATTTATACCAAATGAGGCTCTAGAGGGGAATTTATTCAAGGTGGGAGGGTGTTTATTCAAAGCGGGCATTTATTTGAATAAATACGGTATGTATTTGAGTGAATTTAAAAGTATTAATTAGATTGAGCATGATTAATGTATTTCAGTCCATACAGAAATTTATTCATAGATGAATTGTTCGAAATATATTTCTATTATAAAAACAAACAACTTTTTCTGAAATATGTATGCAATATTTAGAATTGTAATACTCTATTTATCATGACTACTTCATGAATTTATCCAAACCTTAGGGGTATATCCATGTTTTCATATTTTTTACGAAACATGCTAGTTGGGAGGGGGGTCAACATTGTATGTACTCGTTTGTGAAGATGATCTCAAAATGACAAATCCATTTTTATTAAGTATTCTTTTAGGGGAAGGGTATTTTTAAAAAGGATGAAAAAATGGATCACCCCTTATTCTGATTAATAATTAAGATATTTTGAAAAGGTTGGTTTGTGATCTTGTGGTATCTATATTTGTTTCCTCCAGTGGCCTGTTAATAGCAATAAGAGAGGAAAATGGAATAAACTCATTGAAAAACTGTGAATTAATTAATTTTTCTTCTGAAAATAAGTTGATTAGGGATGTTGCGGCTGGTATTGGAGAGCTCTGAGCAATCCTACCAGACAATTAGATCGAGTTGTCTATGGTCAAAATAAGCAATAAACACACCCTTATCGCATTTGCTAAACAGTGGTGGCTCCAGAAATTTCCAAATATGTCAGACAGAAGGGTTTGAACCAATTTCCCCCTAGTGTCTGGGTATTCAACTTTTTTAGGCTGGTGGCCAGTTCCAATCTGTTGAGACCAGCGGCAGGCCAACATTGCATTTATCATTATAGCCTTTGTTTTTCAACATCAACTACGATAGGCCTTGGTTTGTATATGCAGTAGCATATAAGAGGGAAGGGTGGAAGATGAAAAAGTTGCACTAGAAATTTTTATTAAGCATGAAAAAAAAAACCACTCAAGTACAAGATGAAAAACAATGCCAGTGCCAGAAATTCCTGGATATTCCCCCAAACTGCCACGGATTTTCCCTCAGCCTTGATCATGGTTGGGGCTGAGGAAAGCAAATTTTAAAAACAGACACCTCTAGGTGCCCGGAAATGGCACTCTCATACTGTAAAAATGTGTTTTCAAAACGGTGTTTTCAGCTGAATAACACATGTCCCCAGACCCGCTTTCTAGATCCACAGCAGGTGCCGCCAGTGGTTAAAAAAACCATCAAATCAGCGCCTCACATTATCCTTTATCCGCATCAATCAGAGCTACACTCAGCCAAATTGACAATGCCAGAATAGATGGTCATGTTTCTATTAACAACTTTTTACAGGGGTCCTAGTGCCTTCAATCAGAGCCCCAAAGTAAAAACATAATTGGGTCAAGGGAAAGATTTTGTAGTTTGAAACCAAAATATTAGAACCCTCAAGTAGCCTCCAATGACAGGGGCCCATGTCAGCAATTCCCCCGACCCTCTCTTACTAACTAGTGTAAATTAATGGTTCTTGTTGAGTTTGACTGCCCTTGTTGATAAATAAATCATCAATTTTCTCATATTTCATGCAAGTTACTTTTTTTTTTATTAATGTCAAATGCACACACATCATTAATTTGAATGCCCGTAAAAATGGTAAAATGTGTGGAATACATGCTGGATATTATTAAATAATACCAAGCAATAATATTATAAACTTATTAAATAATTATTTGATCTTTAATAAAAAAAAAAAAAAAAAAGCTGCATAATCAAAACCCATCATCAGTTATTTTATTTCACCATAAAAATTTAGAAACATCATCCTTATTTTATGAAAATGTGGAATTTTCAGGGGGGCAGGGGGAAGAAATTTGGCTTATTTAGTTCAAAAGCAAAAATTGGCTTGTCTAGATATAGATCATGCAGTTGTTCATGTCTTTGCCATTTCAAGAAAACAGCATTACTATTCTATATTGAATTGCTGTCTGTCATTACCAAATGTATTTTGCTTAAACTAGATGGATACTCAGTAAGATAGCACTTACCAAAAATGTACACTGCAAAGTTGATCCCTCACAAAAATTAGAAATATACATTAATATAAATAAACATCCATACAGAGAAATATACCATTATAATGGAAAATATTGCTTAAAAAAACAAAATTTTAGACATAAAAATTCTTTGAACCTACATTGAACTAAAGAATTAAGAACCAAATTACATTAGGAATAATACTGTAATGAAGGTACACATGATAACGATAGCTAATTCGGAGGTTTAATCATAGTTCCTTAGGTGTACGCTCACCCACTCCCAACATTCAACCCAATTTTATGTACCAGCTTTTACCTAGGCAGAAGTCCAGGATATTATCAAAACGAGTAGCTCAGTTGACCTTTGCAAATACCCTGTACTTTAAGGGGGAAAGAAAAGATTGGGTTTGAATATTCCCTTATAATCAATTCTTGGGATTAGAATGGATACTGATATTTTGTCAGTCAAAACCCTGCTCCCACCCACCCCTACTATTGAAACTGGCTCCTATCCTGTGGAATTAGAAGATGTTCATCTTAACTTCAAGAAAAGCCGACCTATACGGATATGCCAACCACTCCGATTTCGGCGGAGTTACTCCGTTTATTTAAGCAAAATTCCGCACCCTGATTTTGGGTCGAAAATCTCCGCTTTTTACGCATTTTGGCCAGCTGAAATAAATCGCTCATTCCCAAATAAAAAATGATAATCCTCTGATTTAGATAAGAACAAGACCACTTAATTTCATCCTGAAAGCAGCGCTCTGAACTGTAGGCCCTATACACAATAGTAATTCGCGCTCTACGGTCTACTGATTTCGAAAAAAAAAACCAATTTCATTGACACCAAATCGCTGTCAGAGTTGCACCCTGAACTGTATATGAAAAATTAATTCGCGCTCCACGGTCTACTGATTTTAGGACGCGAAATATCACGATTTTTGTGTCACTTGTCTATAAGCCGCACCTATTTTTAAGCTCCAAACCATTCCCATAATGTTAAGCTTCTAATTATTTTTAGACATAATATTTACAAATGTTCACATAAAGAAATTTCATCTTTTTCGGCTGATTATTAAACATCAAACAACTGGAAATGCGTGTAAACTTCTGGCTACCGCAATGAAACAACGTACTCTTACTCTAGGGAAATCCCTATTATTTCATGCTATACGGTCGCGCGCGCTACGTTAAATTTTCAACACTTATTGAGTATGTTTATCTATTTTAAACAACCATTCTATTATTATGGTGACTAATAACAGTCGGTATTAAGCTAAATATAGTGGTAATAATTGGCCTAAGTCATTACTACTCGCAGCCCACTGTGCGGAGCATGCATTCACACGCACCCGTATAAACAAAAACAGAAGTGGAGAAATATCGTGCGATACAAAGTTTACGCATGCGCAGCATAAATTAATTTCACAAGTTTTTATTATGAAATTATAGCGGATCATTCTCTCTAACGGTACAAGCCACCGGGAACCAGACGTCGAACAGCATGTTTCAACAAACCAGCCCATGTGTTTTGTTAAGCTGCTCACGTGACCTCGAGGACCAAACTCGCAAAAAGTAGTTTGGCAGTTATGAATGAACGTAATTATGAATGAATTATTTAGACAACCCAAACCATTGCTTGAATGTCGTAGAAATCGTAGTAGGAATCCTAGTACAGCACTGTTACTAGTGAGTATACAGTAATTACAAATACTAGACCTACAAACCAGTCCTACACCCTAGGCTAATTAATTGGGCTAGCATGTGCCTAACCTAGACAAACGGCGCCTGATTTTCGCCGCGGCTCGCGATCTGAACTTTTTGGGAGTAGGTTAATGACCGGTGTATAGGCCGCACCCCAAGCTTCGGGGGAAAATCGCGTATAGAATTTGCGGCTTATACACCGAAATATACGAGAATAACAGAAAGTATCCTGTCAGTTTTAAATCAAAATTATTGATTTTCTGCCTAGGCCAAGGGCCTAGTCTTGCACAGCGATATTGCTGTAGTGAGTCGAAAAACGGTTACATTTTACAATCCGATGACATTGGTACCATGTCTTAGGAATACTTCTCTCACATTGCCAAAACTCCGCACAGAAGATTTTCATACTCCTCTTATTGGCCTTGTAGGGTTGGCATGTCTGCCTATATAATGATAGTTATCTTACCTAAACCCAACAACAACAAAATACCTCAATAAATAGTAAATAAATTTTAGCAGACTAAAAATATCTTTATTTGTTACTATGTAGATTCTGTGGATTGCATAGCTGATATGATTTCCGAGTAGAATGGTCCATAGACTTGTCGGTTATGCACAACAAGCTTCTGAAAGCGTGTACTAATTTCTATAATCTCTTTCTCAACGGTTTTCAGGCCTGGTGGTACATGTTGGGAAGGATCAAATTTTCCTCTTGCAGAAAGCATCTTTAGCATAAAACTCTTGGCTCGGGAATCTTGAAAAAGAAAATAAGAAGAGTTGGTATTAAACCAAGATACTTTTTTTTACCTACATTATAGAGAGATTTTTGTAGCTTTTTATCCCCTTCATTAAAATGCATCTTATGGAGGCAGTCTGTCCATTTTCCAAAGAAGAGCCCTAGGGGAGGGTACTGCAGTGGAAATCCTGGGTAAATGATTCAAGAGCTGTTAACATTTGGGTAGTTGAGCTACTGGGTAGATGATGTCTGGAAAGTGAGCTTTTGGTATAGTTCATCTCATGGGAGATTAGTGTGAGGTTGTGATCCCATGGAGCTTAATGTGACTTTTCAAATCATGTATTGTGTATACAAATACAGTGCACCCTGTAATTCGAGACCAACTTTGGAACATCTAAACTTAGCTTCTGTGTGTTCAGTCTTTAAATGAGGAAGTAAGCTTTATATTAATAGGTTGAAGATTGTCAAATGGAAATTTTAACAAGAAATCTATAAGAATTTGAAGGGTCTTGGAATTAGGAAGGCCTCATTGGGAGGGTGAACTAGCGTAAAATGAATCTCTTCTCACCTAATAGTTTTTGTACAGAGTGGTTTCTATCAGCAACTGCCTGCAGCTGGCTTTTCAGAGTTTCTTGGTTTGCACTATCTAGTATTTGGTATTCGCTCTCCTTTAGGCTCTCATTCACTTCTTTACACAAATATTCTCCAATGTTTAACATGGCAGCTGCATCATCACTGGAAAAAAAAGATAGTAGATATGTGAACTGACCAGGAAGGTATAAATGTGGTCTTATGCTGTCTCATAATTATGTACAATGCATTTAATAGCCATTACATCTAAATATAACTTGTTTGCCTTTCAATTAAAACCAATCACAATAATATTATTGAGAACATTTTCAAAAGATACAAAAAAATTATTGAAGGCACATTGTCAATTTTAATATTTATTTTTATCCTCTTACTTACTTGGTCCCCTCCAGTAAAATCTTTATTTCTTTTTTCAACTTGCTAGGGAGTCCTTTTTTCCCTGAGATGGCCACACCCACATTGGTATAAGTGATCAATAGAATGGAAGCAACAAGTGTCAATCTTCTTAGCTGGTCCCTTAGTTCTAGAAATCTTCCCTGGTCCATGATTACAGTCTAGGAAACAAATAAAAAATAAAATACATTAAATAATGAGTATCAATTAGATTTTATATTTAAATTTTGATACATGAAATGGTTTTTATTACAAAGAAAATCACAATAAAATATATTATTATTATTAGTAAACTAAATTAAAAGTTATACTATATAGTATAAAATTACACAAATTATCGTTTTACAATCAATACATATTTCTTTAAAAAGACCATACCTCTGGAAATTGAGTATCATTCGACCAATCAAATAGCTTAATATATGCACCATTTATAATTTTCATAGGAGACACACGACTTGCTACTGCCACTCCTGCATCTGGTTGGTCTGACGTAGCTAGTTCTTCTTTCACTGTTGTCAGCCATTTCCTTGTCATTTCAAGTCCATCTAGACCAGGTATTTAAATGGTGGTTAGAAATTGAGTTAGAGAGAATATATATATAAAATAAGTAGACAGAAAAGAAATAACATTCTTCACAAGGTGACTACTTTGAAGCATAGCACCTGCTCCCCTCTTCAGGGTTACAATAGAATATATACATACATACATATTGTACATACATACATACACATACATATATATACATACACATATACGGGGTGTCACACATATACAGGTACACATATACAAGCAAGACATTCACAATTTTAAACTTTATTGATCTTAGAGCAGCCAGATCAAAACCTCTATACCAGTGGCGTATCTAGGAATCTTGGAGTCTGTGATTTTAATAATAATATAATAATAGTGTAGTTTTATATAGCGCACATATCTATCTAATGTAAGATGCTCAGGGCGCTTGATATGTGGACTAGGAACTCGACTAATGACTTTCTTCGCCCCTAAGGGTCCCTTTGTGTCTGTGCTACCCTGTAACCCGGTACCAGCAACTCTCGTCGTCCACCACAGGGGCTGTCTGTTCCAGTACACCGGGGTATCCCCCTACTTGTCTGGAAGGATGTACTGGGTTCTTTATAGTGCACACGAGCCATTGTATACACTGGGCCTACGGTTTATAGTCCTTATCCAAGAAGACTTGTTCTACCACCAGAACCATAGGCGAGCATGCCGTTTGAACCAGCGCCGATATTATGGCTATAGCTTGCGGCGCCCCTGCTAACCGCTTGGCCATTCGACTCACCCCATTTTGTGGGGGCAACTATGGGGGGCAAGAAATTTTTGGAATGGCATGCTCCCCGCCCACCTCCTAGATACACTACTGCTCCATAACCCTTTCCTTTTTTTTACTTTTGTTTGCCAGCAGTTAGGCAATGTCATATTGGTGATGTGGAGCTCCTGGGGCATGAGGGAAAGGAGATTCTAAGAATGCAGTGGATACCGTAACAATACAAAACGTTCTGGAGTGATGGGAGGGGTCTGAAGAAAGTTATCAAGTAATGGAGAAATCATTATTTACCTTGCTGTGTTTTCAGAAACTCGCTGAATTTATTTCTTTCATAGTCAACAGATTGTTGTTGGATATGTGGTCGTAGAGAGTCTATGGTAAAGTTTGCCATGTCAACTTTCATCAGATCCAGCACACGCAAAATTTCCCTAACGTATATAAGAAAAATGAAGGAAATTTAGAGTAAATATTTTTTCTAATATAATTTATTCTTAATCAGAGGCAATTGAGACTTTACATAATATAAAATCTATTTTTGCATAATACTTCGGGGGATTTTGGTGGTATCTAACATCCTAATAAAATTGCTACCCAAATGTGAATGGTATTTCTTCTTCAGAGGGGCCAAATTTCAGCCTATGTAGCAATTTCCAACTTTTTATCTTCGTTGTTACAGGAGATATAGCTTCGTAAAAACAGAACAAAGTTAAAGGAGCCATTACCGGCATGAAAAAAGGGACGTGCTAACTAAATGGAAATTGGAGCTGAAATTTTTATTTTTATTTTTTTATTATTATAATTTTTTAAAGGAAAATCCAAGGGGGGGGGGGGTCACATGGGAACTTCGAAATTTCTAGCTGATTTGAGCCGGAATGACCCTTATACTTTATTAAAGCCCCATTCCCGGCAAAATTTCAGTTTTTAAGAAAAATCTAATTTTTGTATAATGTTATAAAGATTTATAAATATAATACGGAATTGCTAGTTTAACTGAATTTAGACATTCCTAAGAATGAAAAAAATGTAAAATAAGACTGAAATTTGATTTTTTGTGTTCCACACAAAAAATAAATGCGGATGAATTTTTCATTTTGATTTTGCGATAGGTCGTGAGAAGAAATATCGTAGGCGCCGAAAACATTAGTCTATCCAACGCTGCTAGGCTAGGGCTAGCCTTACCTCGATATAGGTTCTGTTATCACACATAAAAACGGCCGACATGATTTTTTCCGTTGCTAGTATTGACACTTCCGAAATATAATATTTCATAGGAATTATTTCAAATTTGTTAAAAAACTGATTCTGACTGAGATTTTGACACTTAAACAAACATATCTCATCCTTAATCGAACGACCGCATTGTCCGAGATACGAAGAACAAAAACTAATCTCATTAGAGAGGGCGCACTTTATTGACTGTATAAAAGTATACATAAAAGCGAGAGTATTCCAGTGGATGTGATCTACAACCTCTGAATTTGCCTAGTAACGATGAATTTGTTTAGAAAATGGTAATATTTTATGAGAAATAGTCTGTATTTCTCATTTTTTTTATTCTTTTGCGTAAAACTAAAATTCATGCCAATATTTTTCCATGATTTATAATAATTGGAGTAATGCAAATGAATATTTTCTAAAAAAAGTCAGTTTTTAGTGAAATTTTGCCGGGAATGGGGCTTTAAATATGACAATAAAGAAAGAATGAATAAGTTAATGAAATATCAACCTAAATAAATCAATGATATCGGTGAATGATTTCAGCTTTTCAATCTCCTCATCTCGGACCGGAGCACACAGTTGAGCCATCAAGGAGATGATGTAACTTGCATACTGGTGTACGTCTAATACCCCATGCTCTGCCTGCTGGCGGATTAGTTGGGTGTCAAGTTTCTCATTAAGTTCCTCGAGTTGTTTACTGTTCTGAGGCAAAATCAGCATTTCAAGTGTCTGAAAACAACAATATAAAATTATTTGCCTTTAACAATTTAAAGGTTTAGTGTTTTGGGCATGTCATTGCTACCTATTTTTGCAATTTGTTTCTGAGGAACATCAAAGCCGAACAGGGTAAATCAAACCACCCCCAAACCCTAATGATTATTTGCTGTGTAAAACAGAACATTAATTTAAAAATAGAATTATTCCTATTTGTCTCAAAAGGTTTTACCACAAATGTGTAGAATATCCATCATTGTATAATAACAGTGCCTGCATAAAAACCAGGGTTTTCTAGTCATCATATACTATACAAACCTCTTTTATTTCCCCTAATAGACTAATTGCACGATTATAGTTTGGCGGGTCTTCATGTAAATCGTCTTGAAGGCTATCCCAGAAGGCTTTGTGCATTACATCTCTCAGTTGCTTTTCTAGCCTAATGGAAGAACAAAAAAAATATCAGAAAATAATATTAACAAAATTAAGCTTGCTTGTTTTAATGACCATAGTAATTTTGTAACCATACCAAACAAACATAGTTATTATTAAAATGAATGATTATGCTTACGAGTTTTCTGGTAAAACAGTTGGCGACAGTTTGAAATCTTTGTCAACGCTAATCTCGTGAACGAGTGACATGTTGGAGACAAGGTCAGCAGCCTGCAGAAGCTCTTCAAAAGTAGCATTTCTGCCTGGTGATGCTTTAAAAGGACAGTGATGAAAAAAACTCACTTTGTAATAAAGTTACTAAATGAACGGACTAATTTTAGTCACACATTGTTGATCAAAACATCAAACCTTCCCAGCTAGATAAGATAATTATTCCAATTATTATTGATATAAGTTATAACTATTCCAATTGCTTATTGTAGTTAGTGACATTATAATAAATGTCCCTTTGTATGTTTGAACTGCAGTACAAGTATACACCCTCAATAAACAAAAATCAGTTCATTGTGCATGTTAACCAACCAACCATTGTGCAATATAACCAATGTAATAAAATTAAAAACATTTTGACACTGTCTTTGGTATTGTTCTGTGAAAACAAAATTTAACCTAATTTATTATTAACAATAATAATGTTAATATTTTCCAACAATATCTGTACATTTTAAAGAAGTATTGAATGGCCGAGCCGTTAAGGCTGGGGAACCGCAACCTACAGTCATAATATCGACGCTGGTTTGAATGGCACGCTCGCCTATGGTTTTAGAGGCGGAACAAGTCTTCTCAGAAAAGGACTATAAACCATAGCCCAGTGTACACAATTGGCTCATGTACACTATCAGGGCCGCCAAGATGGGAAACTGTAACAGGAGCAAGGGTTGGTGTAGGCCCCCAGTTACTGTGCCAAAAAAGGCAGAATTTTTTTTTTGGGAGGGGGGTGGACTTGTCAATCTGGAGGGGCCCATTACTAGCGGGCCCATGCCATTATTGAGGGCCCATGATAGTAATTATTATTTTTGAAAAAAAATATTGAAAAAAAAATTCTACCTGAAATTTCTATGGGCCCCTGGTAAGCTTGGGCCCCGGGGATCTTCCCCCTGCTTTAAGCGCTCTGATTTTCATGAAATAGCACTATATAAAAAATGTTATGTATGTAAAGGAAAAAAAATAAAAATTTTCTGATACTTGAAGGTTTTATAAGATGAACTAACCAGCTATGGAGCCAAGTTCTAGCACCTCTTCTTCCCCCGACAACTCTAGCTGCTGATCTTTTTGTTGGACTTCATCGTTCTCTTCTGACTGTTCACTTATTTCTTCATTTTGTCTTTCTGCCATTCTTAAATTTTACTGTCATAGAGTAAACAATACAGACTTGATGGTTTATAAAAGATTTTTTTTAAATTTCTTTATTTGTATATTTTATGGTGGTAGGTATAGAAGGGACTACTTAAAAAAATTCACAAAATTTAAAGCAAACATTTCAAGTTGTAAAAAAACATGCAAATTAGGCCAACATTTGTATTGTATTGTATTCAAATTTATCTGAAATACAGATTTAGATTATTACTCAACCATGCACATATTCATTCCAATTGTATACGTCTAAAATTAATTTATTAAGATATTATATTTGTGTAACCATGTAACTTGTGTCATTCATGCATGTGGTCCATAAATTAATAATAATATGCATGGCCAAGTTCTTACCTGGCGGTTAGAGAGGGCACAATCCAACCCTAGCCTTACCCAAATTTACGAAAATGTAGGCCTAAGTAAGAATCGAGTGTGTTTGCACTGTTTGGTAAGAAAAACGAAAAAAAAAAGGTACTGCAATCAAATGAATTCAAATAATTACACGAACAAAGATGTATCTGAATACCATTAAACCTGGGTACTACAGGAAATTGTCAACAGACTAAACCATGGAGCTACAGTAACTTTAAGCTAGGCCTAGGCTAACTTCTCCTACACCCTTCTCCGTTTGGGCTCGCTTGAAGCAAGAGGGAAGTAAAAGGCGCCGACAGATCGAGGCCATGCGATATCTCCATAGGAGGCTGGCCTAGCCTAGCCCAACTTGCTCGCTATCTAAACAAGCTGTAGGCCTATGGTATATTTTAAATTACAGACAACTTACCAGATATTCCCACGACGAATACGCAGCGCAGCTAACTCTTGATTTAGCGGCCCCTTTGGTCATAAGAATACAGTCGAATAATCTAGAAAAATCAGGCCATCCGGATCCGAATGATGAGAATTGTGTAGTGACGACCCTCGCAGGGTTAATGTAGCCCGATCGCGATTTTTTTTTCCGTACGAAACATTTGCATGAAACTTCACTCGGGCCATCTCGGATTGACTCGAGTGAGTACGATACGAGGAACAAGATCAGACACTTCGCAATGTCGTG